CTGCTGTCTCTGGTCTCCGTCCAGACGGGCTCTTTATCTCAGCTACACGATCACCGGTGCGAGGCATCCGATGGCTCATTAGGTCCTGCTCCGTGTCTCGAAGGAAGGGATCAGATACGCGCTTTATCTAGCGAGACCGTCGGCCCTTTTGGGCTGGGGCCCGTCTCTCCCAGCCACCCATCTCTGATCGGCATCGCGGCCTCGGGGGACCCTTGTGCTCTAAACCAAGCATAAAACAAGCATTTAAAAGGATGGGTCACGGCGGGTGCTTTAGGGGAGGTCCCACGTGTGCGCAGGGGTGCCGTTGGCCTTCGTCCCTTGCACCGGTCCTGGTCCCAGACCTGCCTGACAGCTGCAGCGCAGCGGGGTTTGCGGCAGGTCCCTTCACAGGGGACAGGGATGCTCCAGGGCCCGTCTGGCAGGGACGGCGGTCCCCAGCCTGGGGGGTGACAGGGGTCTGGTGTGAGTTTGCAGGGCCCCGTCCTGGGGACCCAGCAGATGGCACTGCCGCCTCGCGCAGGCGAGCTGGGGACACAGCTGCTGCCCACGGTGACATCCCCGAGGAGCAGGGCGCGCACAGGCGGCCTGGCCCTGGGGCAGCAGGCTGAGACAAGGCGGGGGCCTTCCCCCTTCCCAACCCGGGGTGTCCCGTCCTGCCCCGGCTACTCCTTTTTGGGAGAGGCTGGGACGTGGAAGGGAGCCAGCAGCCATCCCCACCTGGTCGCTCCCGGGGCAGGGACACAGAAATGCCGCCGGGCAGAAGCAGCTGAGCGGTTTCACGCACGTCTGTTTATCTGCACCTTCAGGGCTATTTTCCATGGGTATTTTTCGAATGAAAAGCCATTCCTTGTGCACGCACCTACCTGCGCGCCGGGCCCAGCGTCCGCCAGAGGCCGGGGAAGGGATGGAGAGATGGAGATGTGTATGGGGAAGAAGAGGGAAGGAAATAGCTGTGGGAATAGAGAAAGAGTTGGGAAGTGTCTAGGAAAACGCTCAGGGAGGTAGAGGAGAAGCCGAGCTGCCTGTTACCCTGCCTGCCCGCAAGCACAAAGAGCAGGCAAGGGACCCAATTTGTCGGAGATGACAGCAAGGCCAGAACCAGCATCTAAATTAGCATGAAGTGTTTCCATTGTGCAAGGCACAATGAGGACCATATGTCGGGGCCGGGGCTGGCAGCCG